GACTACATTGGGTGTATGAAATACTCTTTTTCTGTACTATGTAGGGGAAAATACAGTGAGCAGTCTTGGTCGCTTTGTGCTGCTTATATGGTTATTTGTAGTTCTAATAATTAACTCAAGTTACACAGCTAGCCTGACATCAATCCTCACAGTGCAACAACTTTCTTCACCTGTTAAAGGCATTGACAGTTTAATAAATAGCAAAGAGCCTATTGGCTACTTGCAGGGTTCATTTACTCGAACTTATTTGATTGAAGAAATTGGTATTGATGAATCCAGACTGGTTCCTCTAAAAACACCGGAAGAAACTGCAACAGCACTGAAAAATGGTCCCCAGAAGGGTGGTGTTGCTGCATATGTTGATGAGCGTGCTTACATAGAACTTTTCCTTTCAAGCCGTTGCGACTTTAGCATTGTAGGTCAAGAGTTCACCCGAAATGGTTGGGGATTTGTAAGTATCTCCTTACCAATAGTCCTAATTTTCTTTATTTTTTTCCTTCACAGTGAACTTTGGAATGTGCCACACTGTTCTCTTTACTTTCTGTTCATCTCTACCTAAAGGAAGCGTAAATGCATTTTTCACTTGACAATTCTGGTTGAAACTTTGTTCTGCTTTAAACATTGTTCATTAACTCAGTCAACCATGAAGCACTGGGGAAAAGGGATTGAGTGATTTATCTGTACTAAACACAGATAATAAATACTTCACTGCCAAATCATAATGTCCAAGCTTGCTTCTGACTCCTCATTTTTGTGGTTTAATAGAAATGCTGCTGTGCCAGAGTCTAAAATAAATATCCTACATTGTAATATATGCATATCTTAGTTTAGATATATCCTAATAGATGTAGCTACTGTTCAATGTTTGCACCTGAAATTTCCTCCCATTTTTGTTGTTATTCAGCAACTTTCCTAACTCAACTCAAGAATATAACTACACATGTTTAAGTTCTTGTTCTTTGAAACCTGTAACCTTGCAACAAAGAACTGTAACCATTCAGGTGAGGTCATGGAACCTTTACTTGATTAGCTGGAGCATAGTCTCTTACCTATGAACTCCTTAAATTAGCTAAATTGTTCTAGTTTCGGCAGAAAAAGTTGGCAGGAAGTTACCATTTCTAATTTCATGTTTTTGTTGGGAATCCAAGTACGAGTCTTAAGTCTCACATTGGATAGAAATGAGAGAGTACAACACTATATAAAGATGAGAGATCCATTAACCCATTGCCTTAAGGTTTTGGCTAGAGAGTGGTGTCAATCTCTTATTGAGCTCATATCTCTTTGGTATTGTGTCTCCTAGATGAACCTCCTCTTCAATAGATCCAACAGTTTTGTTTAGCACTGGAATCTACACCATGATTAATCGTTTGTTGCCCTTCATTTTTCTTAGGCCTTTCCACGGGACTCACCGTTGGCAGTTGATCTTTCAACTGCCATATTGGAGTTGGCAGAGAACGGAGACTTACAAAGGATCCATGACAAATGGCTTTTGAGCAGTGCCTGCTTATCACAAGGTGCAAAGCTTGAAGTGGACAGACTCAAGCTGAGAAGCTTCTGGGGCCTCTATCTGGTGTGTGGGTTGGCATGTGTGATTGCTCTTCTCATATATCTTATTCAGACCATGAGACAGTACTCTAAGCACGGTCCAGAGGAACTTGAGTCTTCTGGCAATGGCTCAGGATCTTCACGTCTGCGCACATTCCTTTCCTTTGTAGATGAAAAGGAAGAGATTGTTAAGAGCCGTGTGAAGAGAAAGAAAATAGAGGGTATGTCCTACAGGAGCACAAGAGAAGTAGGATCATCCATCACCTCCAACAAAGGATTTTCTCAGGCATCATCAAACAGAATTGATTCAGCTACTGAAATCTAACTGTTGCATACTTGTTTGCTCCTCATAATTTTGTAGCTTCTTGTACTAACGCCTTGTGCATCACTCTCCATCCCCCGTTGCAACTGCTGGCTTCCTACATTTTTGTGGTTTTCTTTTTTAGTACATATAAGTGTAAGATATATCATTTTGTGTGGGACTGTAATCTAAGCGTGGGGACAAGTTGGCTTTGCAATTATTGTTTGTACTGATAGTTGTGTAGGATACATAATAATTAATGAAATCATTTCATTTTTATTTATAGTACAATAGACCAATTGTTGACTTTCATTCATTAGCATATTAGCTGGTCTTAGATAACCTTTGTCTATAAGAATGTTGCATGTCATATGAATACACAAAACCTTGGTATGTTGCTTCCTACACCCTATGTTTTCTTCTTACATCCTATCAATTTATTTTATTTTCACTTTTGCCCTTATTTGAAATTTACATCCGAAAAATGTAATCTGAAATAGAAAACATATTCTGGAATTTTTTTTCCAGAAAAGAAAAACGTTTCCAAAAAAAATTTCAAATTTTTTTTATGATTGACTTACCTCTTCCAGAATCTCTTTTATAAAAAACGTGTTTTCCCTTTCATAATCCATTTTCCCGAATCGAATTTCTAATCAACCAGATCCTTTATGGAATCCATTATCCAGACCACGCCACTGCACCTTCCCAAATGCTTCAAATAAAACTTCCAAGGGCAGAAACAGAAATAAAATGACAGTTGACATCTTTCTTCCCTATATAAAGATTAAGGCTGGGCATAATTAACTTAGATACAGTAAACTATAGATAATCTATACTATTTTGTACTATAAAAACTGAACTGTTTTTATAAAAACTGAATTATACTGTTTTTTGGTGCAGTTTAAAAAAACTAAACTTTTTCTATTAAGAGTATAGTTAACTGTTTTAAACTCTGAACTATGTTGTTTAGTTTTTTTTCTTCAAAATAAATAAACATTGAACTATCTTTTAGATTATATATATATATATATATATATATATATATATATATAT